GACGAAGTCAAACTTCCTTTGTTACCTGGTCTTAGACTTCTCATGCTGTGCTAGATGAGCCTTCTCAAGGAATTCAAACACCTTTTTAAGAGTATTGTCATCTAGAAGCATTGTAAGTCTCTGACAGATCTGCTCCTTTCGCCATCTTACAATGCTGTGATTGCAGCCATTCCCCAACTCTCTGTAAATGGTACTCATGGCCATTGATCAGTAGTCTTTGATCAATGAGCTTTGATCAGTGGTTGTTGATCAATGGTCATGAGACTTTGCATATTAATAATCAAGGAACTGACCTCCCAGCCCATTGTTCCTTCAGTGGTGCTAGTTTCAGTCATTATGCAAATGTACTGTTTATAAGATTGGGGAAACCCGCAGTCAGCTGAGACTGAAGAAGTCACTTGGATGAGTGACAAAACATTTCTCCCACTGAAAACACCAGATGAACAGAATCAAACTTTGGGGATTTACTTACCTGGTTGATTGAGCATGCATCAACACATCATTATCCAGCATTTTGCGCATAAATTGTTATTATTAGTTGTCACATCCTGTTTTTGAGAGTTAAAATACATAACATTCATATAAGAAATAAACTGTGTAAACTTGTGTAAACTGTATGTGGTGTTAAATAGGCCTATACTACTGTACTTTAATGTCACTCACAAGGGTGGTACTTCAAGAGCCATATATTTTAATTTTATGAGGTGGTACTCATTGTGAAAAGTTTTAGAACCACTGGTCAAAAGAATTACAAGTATATAGTTTCCCTCTGTGTATGTGTGTGTTTGTGTATCAGAAAATAACCTACCAAAAAGCTGTGGTCAACACAAATGGTCATCCTGACACACGCACAGGCATCTTCACCTGCAGAGTACAGGGTACCGATTACTTCGACTTCCACACTGTGGAAACACACTGAGGAACACAAGACAAAAAATATGATGCTGGGAACGGACTATGGTAAGCAGACAATCTGGCGAAGGTTCAATGTGAGCACTGGTCATAAATACTGCTGAAGTAATTGCCAACAGGTGAGGAGCGAGGAGGGCTCCACCCAGGGGAGGAGAGCCGATGCTGTGGAAAATTACTCAGACTCACCCAGATCATGACGAGAACATTGTGGAGGGCTGCACCAATAAGCCTATAGGACACAGGAGTCGATCTCCAGGCCTCGAGGGCCGGAGTCCTGCAGGTTTTAGATGTGTCCTTGATCCAACACAGCTGATTCAAATGGCTAAATGACCTCCTCAGCATGTCTTGAATTTCTCCAGAAGCCTGTTAATGAACTAATCATTTGATTCAGGTGTGTTGACCCAGGGTGAGATCTAAACCCTGCAGGACACCGGCCCTCGAGGCCTGGAGTGCGACATCCCTGCTAAAGGAGATCAAATTAATAAACTGAATGTTACAGCCCAAGCATGGCCTCCTGAAACTGTCCTTGTGTGGGTGTGGTGTTCTTTCTCCTCCTCTCTTACTCCACCCCTCTGTCTCTCTCTCACTCTTCTCTCTCCCCGGGACACAGCTGCTTTTTATTAGCCTTGTTTACCAAGGACCCAGTCAGCAATCACCTCTCCGAGGCTATATAAGCTGGGGATGACCTGCAAGGGAGGTGGTTTTTTCCCCCCTCATGGTTTTTTTTTAATTTTAAAATTAAAAACTAGGTTTTAGAAAGGCTCCTTTGAGTAGTAAGTAGATGGGCTTGTGGTCTCTGGAAGTGCTTCCCCATGGTGAGGAGTTAAGTAAGAAGTGTGGGAAGTGCCTCCCTTATTTGTTCGTTAGTTTTTCCTTTTGCTGTTGCAACTGCTTCCTTTGTTTCATTGGCATTATTGGTAAAACGGTGTTGCCGGCTCTTTAAGTTAAGGTTATTTGTAATAAAACTACATTGTTCGAAATAAAACTATATTTTTATAGAACACCTCTGTCTGTTTTTCTTTTCATTCCATTCCCGGACCCATTTGTTACTGGTCCCCACACACACCCGTAGGCCACTTTGTGGAGATGTAACACTGAAATAGAAATCACAACACTGCTGAATTAAAGACTAAACTTTTAACATAACTGGCTTGTTTTTGCATATCATACATGTTCTGAAAAATAGCTCAATATAACCAAGTCAGCTTGAAAAACTAGCATGGGTTGGGTTAAATACACTTATTTAAATAGAGTAAGTGCATTGTTTCCTGCTTGTCTGGTGCCATTTCATAAAATGACCACATGGGGAGGCTGTAGACTTTTTCATTTTCATTTAAAGCCTTGGTTGTCACTGAGATTTTATTATAGTCAACAGGCACTTAAATAGGTACATCTTACTGATACTTTGTTTTGTCCATATTAACGTGACAGCATCATGAAAATTGCTCTCGATTCTCCTTTCACATCTGACGTCAACAAGGCAGTTTTACTCCTGCTCACTGAACATTTTCTCTTTTTTTGGACCATTCTCTGTAAATATCAGGGATGTTAGTGTGGGAAACTCCCAGCATAGATGCAGTTTCTGACATCAGCCTGCCTTAAATCACATTTTTCCCCCCTATTCTTATGCTTGACTAGAACTTCAGAAGGTGGGCTTGACCTGTGTCAACATGATAAAATGCTTACGTGCATTGACTTGCTGTCATGCTGTTATGTGATTGGCTGAGAAATGGAAAAAATATATATAGAAAAGGGAGTTTACATATATGGTGTTTGATTTGCACTTTTTGAATGTTATACAATTAGTTATACAATTGAGGTGTGTGTGTGGAAAAAAGTTTTTTCAAAATGCTTAAGAATAAACATTAAAAGTGTCTCTGATGTTTTCTGTGGTTATTTTTGCACCACACATCTGGGTTTTTTTAAATTCTTTTTTTATAGATCCAATCAGCGTTTATCTTGTTTGGGAATTTTTGTGTTTTGTTCTTCATATTTTCCTTCTTTACTCAGTTACTTTTTAAACATTTTCATTTTTCCTTTCAAAATATAAGAAATACTTTAAACAAATACTGAAGACTAATGACTTCCTTTCATTTGCATATTTGAGCACATTTTCAATTCAATTCATTTTTGTTTATAAAGCGCCAAATCACAACATCAGTTGCCTCAAGGCGCTTTATATTGTAAGGTAGATGCTACAATAATACATACAGAGAAAACCCAACAGTCATATGACCCCCTATGAGCAAGCACTTTGGCGACATAGGAAAGGAAAAACTCCCTTTTAACAGGAAGAAACCTCCGGCAGAACCAGGCTCAGGGAGGGGCGGGGCCATCTGCTGCGAGCGGTTGGGGTTAGAGAAGGAAGACAGGATAAAGGACATGCTGTGGAAGAGAG